GAGCTATTCTAAAAGTCATTTTCGTCTCTTTTAATTGCATGTGCCAAGTAGATCTAGTTCGTTCTTCTTTTCCTGATGGATTTAGTCTAATTTATATTTCACATGTTTATGCGGATATCCAAGCTTCAGTCGTTTAGATAATACTAAGAGAGCCACCTAATACAAATATTATTTTGCTAAATCCCCCTCAGTCGACAATTTTTCCTATCTTGGAATACTAGCATATTTTCACTAGCATTTGTCTACTTATGGTTTTTCGGTTAACACACACACTCACAAACGCACACACATACACATCAAAACAAACATTTGAGTAGAGGACCTGCTGATACATGTAGCCACAAGTAAAGCTACTGCAACTGGTTCTGTCAGGTTCTTGTCATTTTAATCGCTTCTATCTTTAGTAACGTCTTAAAATGGAATTGGTGAATCTTTGCAAGGCAAATTAATGCAATGAGTTGTATAAAAGTGATATGTATGTATAGGTGTTAAAAAAATAATAAACTTTACGAGGACCTGCCTCGAGTCAATATTTATAAATTTAGTAGGGCCTACAGTCATTTATTTAAGAAAATACAAATGGCTCATAGAATACATACATCATGGCACTAGTTGCAGTGGTGTAATCAACATAGTACCACTTAAGGGATACGCGACAAGGCATCTGCAATATGGTTATTACGGCCTTTAATGTGTTTGATACACAAGTCGAAGTTTTTGAAAATACAATGCCCATCTTACTAACCTGCAGAGGCGCAGCGAGGGGGGGTCGGGGGGTGCGGACCGGGTGACACCATTTAGAGGGGTAACACCAAGGCAAAAATAGCAAATATATGGAGAAAAATGATAATTCCACTTAATTAAGTGATTAATTCGAGTGTTAAATAGTGTTTTAAGAGGTGCAAATCGAAAGTTTGAGGGGGAGGGGGTGGAAATCGAAAGTTTGAGGGGGGCGGGGGGTGCAAATAAAAAAATTGAAAGTATGTCCCCGGATTGGGTCACTACGCCTCTGGGGGAGGGGGGTGTGATACCATTAAGTGCCGCACCGGGTGACACCCGACCTCGCTACGCCACTGCTAACCTGGGATTTATTTCCAAACTTTTTCATGAAAGTGAAGGGATTGTGATCAGTGTACACCACTAAGGGACCAACAGAAGAAGTCACAGAGATTTCCAAAGTAAAGTACTAAAGATAGTGCCTCTTTCTCAATAGTAGAGTAGCTGCGTTGTCCAGCATTTAATTTTTGTCAGAAATAGGCATTTCCATTTGTATTTGTATGTAAGATCACTGCTCCTACCCCTACTTCGCTGGCATCCACAGCCAGTTTAAACTAAAATCATGAGCTTTTAGGAGGGGGTTGGAGGTTAACATGGCTTTGATTTCTTCAAAAGCCGTTTGACATGGGATATCCCAAACAAACTTAACGTAACGTTTGAGAAGAGCGGTAAAGGGGGGGAGGGGGGGGCTGCGACACTAGAGAAGTTTGGACAAAATCGTCAGTAGAAGCCCGATATGCCTAAAACCTCAACTGTCTTACATTTGTGGGAGGGGACATGTGGTCAATGGCTTCAACTTTGGCTGACACAGGTCGAACCACGCCATTACCAACGTTGTGTCCGAGATAAGTTATATAACTATGACAAAATTCACTTTTGCTTAAGTTAATAGTTAAATTGGCTAACCTTAACTCGGTAAACAATTTACGGAGTTGGGACAAATGTTGTGAAAAATTAGAATCTGTGTTTGTCTGTCTGTGTTTGTCTGTCTGTGTTTATCTGTCTGCGGTTGTCTGTCTGTGTTTGTCTGTCTGGTTGTCTTTCTGATTGTATTCCAATGTCTTAACTTAATTTTGACTAGATTTAGACTTGACTAAACTATTCTCCATAAAGAGACCCTTATAAGTCTATATATTATATGTTACTGCCACATGTTTACAGACTTAAATACAACAAATATGAAAACGTTTATCATAACAAGCTTTTAAATGCACTGAAGTTAAGAAACAAAAATGATTTCCTTTCTTGAATAAAAGCAAGAAGTCAGTCAACCTTGACGAACAGTTCACCCTATACGACCCTCTGAACAAAAGATTACTAGCAGATCTATTTAATCGTGTTATCTCCGATTTTATTTTTTTTAATATGGTATTTTTTAATTAAAACTTAATGACTAATTGTCTAACTAATTAGAATTTTTTTTTAAACTAGATATCTCAAATATCAGGAAAGTTTAAACAAAGAAGTGGGTCAAAATTGGGGTACAATAATTGGCCACAAACAAACATACGTTGAGAACTAAATGAAAGCTTGTAAAAATTATTTTGTCGGCAAAAAATGTCGTATATAACTGTAGGGTAAGGAGAACTTGGCCTCTACCTTGGTTTGAAGATAAATAAATAAATATAAAACAAGATAAATGTGTTGACAAAATGCCCTCCGCTGTTTGTAGAAATACTTTCGAGGACTCCCAAACCGCAGGGCCCTACGTTATAGCTTGTTTAGCCCATACGTAGATCCGGATCTGAGTGCATCTCTTATGGCTTCACAATCAAATCTCATGTTAACTCTTTGTAGATGGTATATTAGTCTTTACAAATTAATAAAGTGATAATATTTAATAATAAAAAATTTACAACTAGAAATGTTTTACAATTTAAATCGCTGCAATGTATCTACTATTACAGCAAGAGAAAACTTGCGTTGATTTTCTTATGATTTTACATTTAAAATCTTGTTATTATAAATGTTGATAAACTAGTTCAGCTGGGACGGCGTGGCCTAGCGGTAGAGCGCTAGACTACGGACCAGAGAGTCCACTCAGCTCTGATGGGTACCTAACGTTCGTTAGGAAAACAAAAGCCGGTTGGGTATAGTACTGACCACATTATCCTTTCCTATGCCGAGGTCTCTGAAGCAGTTGAACTCTACTTTATCTGCCCCATTTGTCTTGGGCACGAACGGGAAATGATGATGATGAGTTCAGCTCAATGTTTTTTTTTCTAATTGAAGTTACAAAGCTAAAATATCTGGAAAAAAATTATATTTAAATTGAATATCAACTGACCCAAACATAATCAGTTCGATTAGGTTACTCATTAATCTTTACTAATCTTTTGTCCTGGTGATTACATCACGATGCAACTAATCTGGGAACATTCAAACAACCTCCCACGGTGTGTTTGTCAGAATGTGAGAACCCCCGACTTGAAGACAACACCAAAGTCAATTAAAAAGCCAATAAGCAATTTGTGCTGAGCACATTGTAAGGTTGGTTGCTTAATTAAGAAAAAAATCGTTAGTGTTTTTTTTTACGAAGTTGAATGCTTGGGAGTCATCCATAAATGACGTCACACTCGTAGGGGGGAGGGGGGGTCCGTTATTTTGTGACGATGTGTGATGAGGGGGAGTGGGGGGGGGGGGGGGTTCAGATGTTGCGACGTCACATTTTTGCATTATAAAAAAGCAATGTTAGAAAACGAATTTTAGACGTTATTTCGCGTTTTCGATAACTGTTTTAATAAATTGTAACAGTTTAGACAAGATTTTGGAAAAATATCGATGTTTAAAAAAAATTCAACTGCAATTTTGAGGGGGGTTGTAGGTTGAGGTGTGACGTCATTTTAGGGGGGGGGGTCTGGCTTTTTGTGACGACGTGTGACGGAGGGGAGGGGGGGAGGTAAAAATCGTCAAAAAAAGCGTGACGTCATTTATGGATGACCCCTTGGTGCGTAAAGCAAAATGTCTAATTTACTAGCTGAAGGTATGTTTGGGCTAAACTTAACAATCTATCACGTGACGTAATCAGACCATCCATTCCCTTCTCACAAGACCATCCATTCCCTTCCTACAAGACCATCCATTCCCTTCCTACAAGACCATCCATTCCCTTCCTACAAGACCATCGATTCCCTTCCTACAAGACCATCCATTCCCCTCTCACAAGACCATCTATTCCCCTCTCACAAGACCATCCATTCCCTTCCTACAAGACCATCCATTCCCTTCCTAAAGACCATCCATTCCCTTCCTACAAGACCATCCATTCCCTTCCTAAAGACCATCCATTCCCTTCCTACAAGATCATCCATTCCCTTACTACAAGACCATCCATTCCCTTCCTACAAGACCATCCATTCCCCTCTCACAAGACCATCCATTCCCCTCTCACAAGACCATCCATTCCCTTCCTACAAGACCATCCATTCCCTTCCTACAAGACCATCCATTCCCCTCTCACAAGACCATCCATTCCCCTCTCACAAGATCATCCATTCCCCTCTCACAAGACCATCCATTCCCTTCCTACAAGACCATCCATTCCCTTCCT